AAACAAAACGGACAGTTCATAAATACACAGTTTAAGAAGGAATGATTTGGGGCTGGACTTGACCAATTAGATATGCTTAACTTATTGGGGGAGAAAGGGTTTTTTTAAATCTCAATTTCTTGCATATTAAGAAAGACACTTTTTTCTACACTGAGAAGATCTGTGGATTGTCATAATCCTTGTATTCAAGCCTGCTGAATAGGCTTCAGCAAACCTTACCAAAGATGAATGTCAGAGGGTTAAATGCTAAGTATATGGGCCCTTCCAACTAGCACAGGCATCTTATGAAAGAAAACCTAACCATGGTAAACTTAGTCAGTTACAGTGATGATGCATTACTGCCAGTGGAGGCAAGATTAAGAGATTACATCAGACTATGAGTTTCATCCTATTTGTGTCTAACACTTCACTGACCCAGACTCTTGGCTCCTGTATGCAGGAACCCAGAGCCAAGCTTTAGTCAATCGAATTGAATTATGAATAATCAATCTAAATGGACCAGTATATTTGCTCGCATCACTTTGTCTTTTGAAAGTCACTAATTACAATATTAGTATGGTATATGCTAACTTTATTTTAGGAGAATTTTTCTTCAAGTGGGAACATTTTGACATTTCAGAAATTTTATGTTTAAGTGATAGTTTAACTACAATTATTCAGGTAATTATAAATCAGAAGAGTAAAAATAAATTCAGAAATAGGAACAGAGCCACTGAAGTTAATATTGGAAACCACGAGACAGAAAATAGTACCAGAAAACTGGAAACAGGCGGATCTTAAGAATGGGAAAAGGGGAAAAACTACTACCGTTAAGCCTGATGTTAGCCCTTACCAAATTTCTGATACAAATTAATTTAGCATGTATAGAATGTGTGCCCTCTAGATCTCATGTACTTTGTAAAAGTTGGAAAATAAAGCCAGCATGAAATTGCTAAGTAGTCTGAAATGTCTTCTTTTAAATCATAGGGGCTATCATATTCAAGTTCATTTTGCTCTGATTATTTAAGTAGCACTGCTGTTAGATAGCTTCCATGCTCCATAAGGAAGGACTAGATTACACTTACACGAAATCAGGAAAGAGATGATGTTTTTCATTTTACATAAAGCTTTTCTGAACTTTGGTGTCTGTATCTTCAAAATATGGGCATAATAACCTCTGATCTACCTCCTGATATAAAGTATGAGAAAGTGATTTTAAAATGTTGGTGACATATAATAAAGAAATCTTAATAAACAAGAAGAAAAAGATGGGTGGAGGGAGGATAAGGGAGAAAAGAATGAAGGTAAGGAGGAAATCCATGTGTAACAAAAACAATTGTAGGGCAGAAAAAGACTTTAGTGGAAGAACCCTATCATTTTTTAAAAGTAAGTGAAATAAGGGAATTCCCTGGCAGTCCAGTGGTTAGGACTCAGCACCTTCACTGTGGTGGCCCGGGGTTCAATCCCTGGTTGGGGAACTAAGATCCCACAAGCTGCACAGTGTGGCCAAAAATAATAATAATAAGTGAAATAAGGTCCAGAGAAGTTAAATGACTTGTGTGAAGTCTTGCAGCAAGTTAATAGTGAGAAAAAAGTAAGCCAAAAAGGGAAAGAAAAAAAAAAAACAAAAACTAAGAGTTAAAAGACAAATGGGTTCTTGGAAGACATGACCTGGAAAGCCTATTAAGATTCACCAGGCCCTTTCACTTACCTCTGAAAATACTACTCAGCCAAGGGGACCGATGTGGTTCCCTGCACAGTAATCTTCCCGAGGGTCCCAATCAGAGAACAGGGTCAAGTACCTCTTCCACTCTCAGTGCTCATCCCATTTTGTTCACTCACTTCTCTCCCTCCAGACCAATGTCCAGAGAGGAGAAATCAGGGCCCACACTTGAGTGCTTTGCTCTCATCCCACCATTTTACAAAACGAAGCTACCAAAAACAAACAAAAAAACAAACAAAAAAACCCTTGGATTCTTTTAGAGATTCAAATTACTGTAGAGGTTCAAAGAAACATACATTCTCAAAAAGATTTTAGTTGGTTGTTACAACACCCAAACCTCTGCTTATTTGATTTATCTGAAGAGGAATGTGTCTACTGTAACTTACTGATTTTTTTTTTTTTTTTTTTTTTTTTTTTTTTTTTTT